GAGTCTGGCTTTCCAGGAGCTGCAGCTCATTTCCTCCAGGCCAGACCCTCCCTGGCGCTGCCACCACTGCTGAAGGAAGGTGGGGGAGCTGTTGAAAGGCACTGGACAGTCTTTTCTGTGGTGTAGCCTGCTGAGCTATCGCCCTGACAAAGCGCTGGCCTTGCCCCCGAGGGAGAGGTGCCACGAGGGGCAGTGAAGGTGAGTGCTTCCCCTGCTTGCTGCTGCTCACTAGGTCTGCCTCCTTCTCCCCTGTGGAGGGGTTGCCACTCCCTAGGCAGAGCATCCATCCCCTTCACTAGCTCCAGACTGAGAGTGAAATGCTGGCTGCTGGCTTTGTGGGCGGGGCCGAGCCAATGCAGCGAGGATATGCAGCCAGGGGATTGGGAGTCCATGAGACAGGCAACTGAGTGGGCCAAAGGCTGTGGGAGCGTATCCAGGAGTCACACCAAAACTCTTTTATATACTCACTGCCACAGGAGGTGGCAGCGGCTGCAAGCATGGACAGCTTCAAGAGGGAGTTAGATAAGCACAAGAGGTGGGACCCATGATACTCGCAGGGGGGAGAAGTATTCCTCATAGCTCCTGGCGTGCAGAAGAAGGAGAGTGAGCCCAGCGTTCTCCTTCCCCCCCTCCCCAGCAGTGACAGTGAGGCCGGCCCACCAAGCTTTCTCCCTCCCTCCCCAGTGGCGGTGGCGAAGCTGGCCCCCCAAGCTTCCCTCCCCAGCAGTGGTGGCGGCCAGGCCAGCCCACCAAGCCTTCTTCTGTCCCCCATTCCGTGGCAGTGGCAGCGGCGAAGCCATCTCAGAGCGTTCCCTGTGTATGTGCTGGGAGCACTCCTTTACTTTTGGGGTGATTTAATTCCCCCCATAGTTTTTTACAGTTTTTAGATTGTTTTGCACATCTGGGGATTCCCCCAAATGTGCAGGAAAATCTCCCTGCCCCCCAGGTGCCCCGATGTATGGATTTAGATATCTGCACACGGGGGGTGCCTTGGCTATTAGATATATAGATATGGAGCAGAGGTCCATCAGTGAATATTAGCCACAAGGTATGGATAGGAACTCTCAGGCTGGGGGAGGGATGCTCTGTCTTCTTGGTGCTTGGGGGGGCAACAGTGGGAGGGCTTCTGGTGTCCTGGCCCCACTGCTGGAGCTCCTGATGGCACCTGGTATTTTTGACCACTGTGTGACACAGAGTGTTGGACTAGATGGGCAATTGGCCTGATCCAACATTGGCTTCTCTTATGTTCTTATATATAAGGAGAGATATCTGAAATGAGATATCCCCATTGTCAAGGGCCATCCATCTCCTCATCTTAATCAGTTCTCTGTACATTTTCTTCAGTTCCTTCAACTCTCGGAGGTTTGATATTGTACAGTTACTGTTAAACTCACGATTCTTCTGTTGGATGCACCTTTTCTTTCTTTTGCCGTCACCATTAAACCAGCTATTCCTGTTAACTTAAGGGAAAGTTCTTTTGAGGTTCTTTTTGACGTAAAATGGTCTAAACTGTTTTAATACCTCACTGTGCGACTGAACAACAAAATAGATTATGCAAACAATTAGGCACTGAATCAAACTGTGAAAACTTGTTTTCACCTCGATACCCCCAGCTGTGTGCAGTCCCTCAGAAGGCAATCCTCTCTCCAATGCTGTTTAAACTCTATATGTGCCCCCTTGCCCAGCTGGTGTGGAGTTTTGGGTGGGGTTGTCACCAGTATGCAGATGACACCCACCTGTATCTGTTGATGGATGGTCGGCTGGACATCGCCCCAGCAAATTTAGCTAAGGGACTGGAAGCCACAGTGAGATGGCTAAAACAGAGCCAGCTGAATCCATCTAAGATGGAGGTTCTGTGGCTGGGTGGTGGGGAAAGACCTTCCACTCAGGTATGGCAATGCCTCTGAGAGGTGCTGATGTGACCAGGCTACACTCTCAGAACAAGTAGTTATGAATACCTGTAACTATATGGACAACCTGCATCATTTTCATTTAGAAAATACATACAATGTTGGTTTATGATGTGGAGGTCTGCAGTGAATGTCAGGTTTTGGGAAGAACTGACTCTCCTCATCTGCTGGCACAAATGCCCTTCTCCTGGTAGAAAATAACCACTGGATAAAACCTACTGTTTGTAGTTTTTAATCCTTTTTTTCTTGTTGTTGATGTTGTACATTGCAACCATGGCAAAATGTGGTGTGCCTTTATTAAAATAAATAAAATAACCTGCAGGTGTAAAATAGCACTTCCTTTTTGAAGATTTAAATTATCTTTACCTCCTAATGTGTATTTCTTTCTCTGTATAAAAACAGCTTCACCGATTTCTGAGGAGGGTGTCATTTAACAGCAGTAGTGGTGAAACCATTTCCTTTGATCAACATGGAGAATTGGTAGCTGGATTTGACATTATCAACTGGGTCACATTCCCAAACCAGTCCTTCCTTCGAGTCAAAGTTGGTCAGATAGACCCAAAGGCTTGCCCAGAAGAAACATTTGTGATTTATGAAGATGCTATCACATGGCCCTGCGGATTCAAACAGGTAGAATGTATGCACATAAAAGGGGAAGAGATGTTGCTCAGTGGTAGAACACCTACTTGTGAAACAGAAGTTCCAAGGTACAGTCACAAGCATTAAAGGACCAGGCCATTGGTCATGTGAAAGACCTCAGAATGAGACCCTGGACAGTCTGAGTAGACTGAGTAGACAGAACTAACCTTGATGGACCAGTGATTTGATTCCATATAAAGAAGCTTCACGTGTTCACATTTTGAGTCACATGAACACATTAGCCAGGATGTGAAAACATGTTAAGAGTCAGATTCATGTTAGTTTTTTTTTTAAAAAACAACAACTTTAGGTTGATAGTTTAGCATCTGAATTAAATCTAGAACAAAGCTTTCATCCAGTGGCACCTTTAAGACCAACAAAGTTCAATTCTGGGTTTAAACTTTTGTGTGCATGCATACTTCTTCAGATACATTGAACCAGATTTCCTCAAGCCTTACATATGGGTAGGCAGGGTTAATTGCCAGGAAGGGTTAGTTAGAGTCAAGATGTTTAAGTAACTGTGTGAGAAGTATAGGTGATACTGGATTAAAATTTCTGGGTCAGTCTCAATGGCAGCCCTTTGAGATAAGGCAACAATGGGTAGTAGTGGAAAGACTGTGCACAGAAATGCCAATCATTTCTTGTCTCATTCACTGGGAGTGTTGCCTAATGATTCTGTTTGGAAGGTATGTTTTTCACCCACCAGTCAGCAGAGTTAGTACTCTTCCCATGTACAGCAAGTGCTTTGCTGAAAAAAATGCCATCATGGCATTCAAAGACTGAGCACTTTATAAGCTGCACATCAATCACTGATATACAATGGCACAGAATATACATGTAAAACATTTTTTCTCTTCTACTAATGGATAGGCACAACCTCTTTCTCAGTGTAATGAAAACTGCCCTTTTGGTTATAGTAAAGCAAGCAAGGAAGGGGAGCCATTTTGTTGCTATGACTGCCTTACATGTCCAGAAGGGAAGATTTCGGACAAAAACGGTAAGGAACACTTTCTATGGAGTTTACACTTCAGACTTTATGATGTTGATTATTAAAATTTCATACACCTTGTGCTATGAAGTTGAGAAACTGCAATATTCATTTGCAGACATGGATGCCTGTTTCCAGTGTCCAGAAGACCATTATCCGAACAGCTACCAGGATTCATGCCTTCTGAAAAAGATGACTTTCTTGTCTTATGGGGAACCTTTGGGCATCATCCTGGCGATTTTTGCTTTTTCATTTTCTTTCCTTACAGTTTTAGTGCTTCGGGTCTTCATCAAGCACCAGGACACTCCCATAGTCAAAGCCAACAACCGGGACCTCACCTACACACTCCTCGTCTCCCTCCTGCTCTCCTTTCTTTGTGCTTTGCTATTCATTGGCCAACCCGAAAAGGTGACCTGTCTGTTTCGACAAATAACATTTGGCATCATCTTCACAGTTGCTGTTTCTTGCCTTTTGGCCAAAACAATCACTGTGGTTCTAGCTTTCATGGTGACCCAACCAGGATCAAGAATGAGAAAATGGGTGGGGAAAAGACTGGCCAGCTCCACAGTTATTTCCTGCTCCCTTGCTCAAGGCATGATTTGTACTGTGTGGTTAGCAACCTCTCCTCCCTTCCCAGATTCTGATATGCATTCAGTGATTGAAGAAATTGTACTGGAATGTAATGATGGGTCAGTGACCATGTTCTTCTGTGTTCTGGGCTACATAGGCTTCCTAGCCATTGTCAGTTTCACAGTGGCTTTCCTAGCCAGGAAATTACCTGACAGATTCAATGAAGCCAAGTTCATCACCTTCAGTATGTTGGTCTTCTGCAGTGTCTGGTTGTCCTTTGTTCCAACCTACTTGAGCACCAAGGGGAAATACATGGTAGCTGTGGAGATCTTCTCTATTTTAGCCTCCAGTGCTGGGTTACTGGGCTGCATCTTTGGCCCCAAGTGTTACATCATTGTGATGAGACCTGATATGAACAAAAATAAAAGGCTAATAAAGGGAAATAAATGAAAAAAAGAAATCTGCATTCGTAAGATGATGCTGGCTTCCTATATTCTTTATCTAATCCTCTGTCATCTCTTTTTCCAGATTATTTATTTATTTATTTTATTAGGTTTATACCCCACCCTCCCTGCTTTACAGCAGGCTCAGGGTGACTTACACTGGTTAATACAGGCCCTGTTCACACTGAGCATTTGCTGCGCTGAAGGCACCATCGTCCCATGGATTTTCCGGGCGCGCTCACACTGGAACATCTATGAGGTGTAGTGCACCCGTGGTGAATCCCTGGCAACCCACCAAAGATGCACATTAAAAAGTACCTGGAATGACCTACTGGCAAATGGTTTGCCATGGGCTGCATGCGGACTCCCTGGGTGCGATCGTGCTGGCGCACGGCTTTCTCCCCCCATTGTCCTCTTTGCCACGGGGAAGCCACCAGCGTGTTTGATCGCATAATGGCACATCAGAATGTGACAGCACAAATAGCCGTGCTCCCTCCCCCCGTGTTTTCCGGCACATCTGACCGGGGCCACAAAACAATTAAATAAGATGTTCCTCCTGACAAGTTAATAGAAGGCATTGTGTTAAATGAATTTGCACTTACAGGCTGTATTAATGTTTAAATAGTAATCTTGTTTATGTATACTTGACTTATCGTTTAATAAAATCGTTTAAAAAAAAATCTCATTAAATCATCTAAAACAATTCAGTTGTAAACAATAATAATTTACAAAGTGCTGCATAATAACTTAGTTGTTATAAGATGACATACTTAAAAGTGTACACAGGATCTCACCATCGTTCCATTCCTGATTTTCCTAACATATGGGTGGTGCAGGCTAGTTGATGAGAGCCAAGGGCTAGGGCTATAGTTAAGCTGTTATTATGATGTTAATGTTAATGGGGTAGTGGCTCCTAACTATAGGCCTATATTACACATATGTGCATGTCTTTCATTTCCCAGGGGAAGTAGGTAAGAGTTAAACTTTTGCCTCTGTCTCTTCCCTCAATTTGCAGGGCAGGCAGAATTCCGGGGGAGGGACGTAGTCACCTGGGTTTGAGAGCATGCAATTCAGAACTAAGTAATTAGAGGTGATGATAGTGAATATAAGGGTAAATTATGGGGGGGGGTATACTACCTGTCCAGATGTGCAGAAGTCCATGGAGAAAAGATTATGGCCTAACCATAGTATGGGGGTGAATTGCCAGTTGGAATCCAGGAAAAAAACACAGTCAAGGTCATGTGCTTTGGTGGATATAGACATGGGAAAACAATGTAGACCAATGGGAGGCCCTGAGGGGCTTGTCTCAGGTAAAGACAAAAGATTTATTGGACCAATAAGGGGTCCCAGTGGGTGTGACAGCAGGAGGAGCAAAACCTAGGTGTGACCAATGAGGTCCCAGAGGGACAGAGTCTGGATTCACAATAGCATTGATGAGATTAGTCAGGTGCTGGATGGCTCAACTGGAGCTGGCTGAATGGTTTTTGGAAATCTGTGCAAATGTGTATGTCATCTCTCAAATTAATTCTTTTCTTTGTTAGACTTTCTTATTGTAGGCATCTTTTGGGGGGAGGGGGTATCTCAAGGATTATTCTATTAGTTTCCTTCAACCACCGGAAATGGCAGGCCATAAACATCTGGATAAATGAATAACAGCACTAAGACTCATTTTGGTCAGGTTTCTCATGGTATGGGCATGGTCAGGTCTCCCAGAATTTCAACAGATCTCCAGATATTAGTTCCCCTGGAGAAAATGGCTGCTTCCAAGGATGGACATTAAGATGCCCGACTGAGGTCTCTCCCCTTCCCAAACTCTGCCCTCCCCACTTTTTACACACAAAGTCTCCAGGAATTTCTCAACCAGGAGTCGGCAACCCTATGTTCAGATCATGTGTCTCTTGCTGTTTTGCTGGAGGGGACTTGAGAAGCTTTCACAGAGATGGGATAAACATATTTTCCTCTGCACAATAATCTGTAAATCTGAATAGTTAATTATAGTCCCTGCAACTGTCCAACTGATCATTATTATTTGAACTTCTTCAAATCACTAAGGAGTTTCACAGGACAAAATTACAAACCATTAAATGTATCATTCAGTGACATGACAAAAGGCAGAGAGGGCTCTACCAGTCTTCTTGCTGTTACTTTAATGGCCCGTACTACAAACCAGCCTAGAGACTGAGTGAGGCTGTGCTACAAAAAAGACACTCAGATGGCAAAGTTGGAAGAGATGAACTGGGGTCCAGTGGGAAGGTTTTCATGCAAGATATTGGCATTTGTGGGGTTATCATCGATGCTGATGCCCCAGGCTGCATGCAACGATTTGAACTGCATGTTCAGTGACTCTCTTTCTATTCTGCACAAGTACTGTCAGTTAGGAGACCTCATTATTGGTGGCATCATCTCTCAGATCTACATCACCTCTGAGCTGATAACATTTACAAGACATCCATATCTGGAAGAAGTTGAGGAACTTGTGTAAGTAGGCATAATGCACTCAACCTGGCTTGTCTTATGGATTGACTTTGGATTTCACTGGAATATGAACAGCTGTCATTGCAGCTTTCTTTTCTCTCCCTCCAAGCAGGCTGTCTATTTCTGTTCTTATAGATGCAAGGAGAGGTCTGCTCACACAACAAAATTTCCCCCTTCCCCTTTCTAGTTACAGTTCCCTCTGCCCTCTCTGAAAAGAATCTCCAGCAATGTCTCAAGTTGTCATAAAAGGCACTGTAGAGAGAAGGGAGAATCAGTTGAAATTTCCACACTTGTTTGAGCAGAAGTAGCCTACTGCTTGCGTAGAAAGAGGCTGTTGATTGCTAGAAGTCATAGCGCTACATTTATCTTGCTTCCTGAAACCACTCATCCATAGCCCTACTGGGTATTCCTTGCTCCTTTAGCTGATTCAGAAGAGTTAAAGGCCCCACAGAGCTCCCACAGAATATAGGGTGGTAAAGCCTGGACCATCCAGATCAGGGCACAAGCCATATACCATACCGAAATATGGTGAATGTTATGTTTTGTGGCTGATACAGACTGCATTTTGTAGTCTGTGGCTGACGCACTATGTGATTCTGTTGCAGGATAGTAACTCAAAACTACCAGCATATCCTGGCCTTGGCGTATGCTGCCAAGGAGATCAATGAAAATCCATACATCTTATCCAACATCACTCTGGGCTTCCACATCTCTAATAATTATTTCAGTGCAAGATTTACTCACCTTGCTGCAATAGACCTTCTGTCTACATGGAGCAAATTAGTCCCTAACTACCAGTGTGGCATCAAGAACTTTCCACAAGCAGTCATTGGGGGACCAGCCTCTGACACTGGACTTCACATGGCCACCATCCTAAGCAACTACAAAACCCCACAGGTAAAGTCTGTGTATACAACACTGAGTTTAAGAAGAGGAAAGGAAGCACTTGCTTCCCAGATGTGGTTTGGTGGCATAGACCTTGAGAGTCACACTGGTGACATGAAGAACGACTTGCTACTTAAGGGCCAAATCCTGACCAATGAGGAAAGCACCTGATAATTCTATTAGATTTGTTAGATTTGTTACTCAGAGGGTCTGTAACTACCATATCTCATGTCACACCATTGTTTTATCAAGTATGACTAGCTGCACTTCCCTAGGATCTCAGGCAAAGAAGGGTCTTTCTAAACCCCTCAGATCCTTTAAGCTTTTCCTTTAAGGTAAAAAGCCTGCATTCTCATGTTCTACCACTTACCAGAGTAACAAATATTTAATCAGTATTATGTTATTCATAAGTGAAGCCACCACTGTGATAATGTGAAACATCTCTGTATTCTCTAAGGCAAAGTTAAAATTTTCTATGTGCATACCCATTCATTCACACTAATATTTTGGAAACGGGTCTTTCCCCTCTTGCCTTCCTTCAAGCTCACATACGGTTCTCCTTCAGTGATGAATGATGCAAGCCAATCTGGTTTCTTTCAATGGATGTTCCCAAATAGGAACCATCATTACATGGGGATTCTCCAGTTGCTGCTTCATTTCAGGTGGACGTGGATTGGGGTGATCTATCTGCAAATCCAGAGTGCAGAGGAGTTTGTACTTAGTGTGCTGCCGATCTTTTCCCAGAAAGGTATCTGCTTTGATTTCATAGAAAGATTCCCTAAAACAGCTTCTTCCAATAATGTTGTTGAAGTGATGACGAAGGGGATGAAGTTATACAACGTTGCCATGGGAAGTACTGCCAATGTGCTGGTGGTCCATGGTGAAATTCAAAGTATGATGATTTTGAGAATATTGCTATATTTCTCAAAGTTTGAGAACAGACCAGTGAAGCAGAAAATGTGGATTATGACAGCTCAGATGGAATTCACATCCCTTGCCTTTCAAAGAGATTGGGACTTAGACTTCCTCCATGGCACTATATCCTTTGCTGTCCACTCAGAGGAGATACTGGGATTCCAGGAATTTCTTCAGAGGAGAAACCCTCGAGTAGAAAAAGAAGACGGCTTTATCAAGGACTTCTGGGAGGATACATTTAAGTGCTATTTCCCTGACTCTGCATTAGAAGTGAAGGCTAGGAACATTTGTACCGGGGAGGAGAAGCTGGAGACTCTTCCAGGGTCTGTCTTTGAAACAAGCATGACTGGCCACAGCTACAGTGTTTACAATGCTGTCTATGCTGTGGCGCATTCTGTGCAGGCCATGCACTCATCCAAATTCAGACAAAGACAAAGCTTGATGAATGGAAGGATGTGGAAGCTGAATCAACCACCGTTTCAGGTAATGCAGGATAGTTTGGCCCATCTCTGTGTAGAACCCTCAACACTGTGTCCTTGATAGTGCATTCTGAAGAGAACTTCATTACCATAATGTTCTTCCTCTGCTTGGAATTTAAATCAAGATCATTCAATGCCCATTTGCATCTATGTGATCGGCTTTCAAATTAGAAAGTGCTCATATCCAGTTGTCCATTGTTGTTGGTAGACGATCTCTTCCCACCCCCTTTCTTTGAGGAAACTTGTTTACTGC